GTGGCTCAGCAATAAATAAATATTGGAATGTCACTCAACCATAAATTTTAATTGAGCTTGATTTTAAACTAATGGCTGTTTACAGAAGGAAAAACTCTGTATTTTGCCTGGTTTTTTTTTTTTTTTTTTTTTTTTTTGGCATATCTTTACAATAAATAATCTAAAAAGGTTTTGATATCGCCTTTACAAAACCGACTCTGTCATTTTATGGATTATAGACTTAAAGAGACAAGTCATTAGAGTTATTATTTATAATGTATCGATACAGAGCTTTCCTGGTAGCGAGGAAGTTCTTCGTATGAATTATATGATATCTAAATCGGATATGATTTATCTGGCACTGGTTTCAAATTTAGATAAAGACCAAGGTCAAATATTTTTGACTAGAAAGAAGATTAAACGGAATACATTGCTTGTTTTATATTGCTACATATGAGTTAGATATGGGTCAAAATGCATTAAGTTCAGACGATAAAATAATATACAATTATATTTTCCCCCAAGAATCTGTGACTGAAATATTACTACTTTAAGAAGTTTCCTCACAAAAATGTTTACATTACCAGGCATTTGTACAAGATTCTACGGGATTTTTTTCTCTACATAATCCTATCTCTATTTCAATTGAATTTCTGAAATCTTACTAAATATAATTATATAATATTTTTAAACATTTGAAACCGTTTCAGGGTTCGAAATTCACTATATACAACTCGCAAAACGCGAGTTAGAATTCCCAAATTGCGAGTTAAAAATTAGGTAACTCGCAAAAACTTGCGAGTTGATTTTTTTGCATTGAAACTGTAACAAAATTACATAGTATGACAGAACACAATGCTTTTGATTTAAATCAGTAATTTAACTAAAAGTCACACTGTAGTTGTATTTTGTGTATTGTACAGTAGTTACTTTTTCCTTAAGTTACATGTACAGCATGTATTTAATTTATATAAATTTAACTTCATATGAAAATTGCGAGTAGTCTTATAAAATTGCGAGTTCACTTTCTTGTACTCGCAATTATTTGCGAGTTGTAATTTTAGGGAATATTTGTTTTTATGCCATTCTATTGTAGTTCTGTAATGTTTGTATAAAAATGCATGTTATGACGGAAATAAAAATATGAATGACAAAAAAAAATTTTAGGGAGTTTCTAACCCTGCCGTTTGAGAGAGCATAAGATATTAATAACAATGATTATAACGACAGGCGAATAAGGCGAGCCAAATGCCCATAGTTTCAATTGTGTAAAAATTAAATTCAATCTGTGAACTAAGTATTGAGAGCAGAGTTCTAATTATTGAAATGTATGAAATTATGACAAACAAAACTTCTCTGTGGAAAAATTCTCTCGGTACACAATTTTCTATGGTAAAGAAAAAAAAAGAGTACATAAGAATTGAACAACCATATCAAAGTTGGTTTGTGATATGACACTTGAATATATAACTGGACTTCTTTCAGAAAGATACAAATGTGTTATAAAAGTATATCTTTAAGGTATTGTGGGTCCTTCTCCATGTTTTTGTTCAGCAAAAATGTATACTTTTAAACGTTTGTTGTGGATATACTTTCAAATAATGGAGCAAAGACGCACTTATAGCAAAAAATAGTAAAAAATGGAGCAAAGACGCACTTATAGCAAAAAAATAGCAAAAAAGGGAGCAAAGACGCACTTATAGCAAAAATAGTAAAAAATGTAGCAAAGACGCACTTATAGCAAAAAATAGCAAAAAAGGGAGCAAAGACGCACTTATAGCAAAAATAGTAAAAAATGTAGCAAAGACGCACTTATAGCAAAAAAGTAAAAAATGGAGCAAAGACGCACTTATAGCAAAAAAAGTAAAAAATGAAGCAAAGACGTACTTATAGCAAAAATAGTAAAAATTGGAGCAAAGACGCACTTATAGCAAAAATAGTAAAAAATGGAGCAAAGACGCACTTATAGCAAAAATAGTATGAAAAAAAGATCATTCTTCCCCTCTGGTGTGTACGTGCTGGTGTGTGATTAGTTTTATTATTATTGCAAAGTATTGAGTTTTTACATTAAGTATACATTAATGTTAACTGGAATATCAAAGAACATCGCGTTATAATAGAGATTTAATTTTTCACTTTCTTATTTGTTGAACCATAAGGGTTTTTTTTTCGACTTGTTCGCACATCTCCTTTTTAGATAATCACGAAGGGATACAAAATCGTGTCGTCAGACCTTAAATTTTCAACTTTATAAATGGATATACACAACTTTGAATAAACTTTTGTTAAAGGAAGGGACTTCCCTAAATCCACCCATTGGTCATTTGAATTATTCCTGAAGAGACACTGTCTTTGTTAAATGGTTACCATAGATAAGGTACATGTTAGATAGAATAGATACACATACACTGTTTGTGCTCTATAAAATCCGAGAGAAAGTTTCAAAGAGAAGTGATGGTAAACAATACGAAATCCACGATTTAGTTTTTAGTGTAATTTACCACTAAAAGACCATTAATATAGGTCGATGATTTTATACTTTAACCAAACCTAATGATTGGACGGTCAAGGTTAAAACCAAATCATATTCCTGAGAATAACCTGAAGATAAGTTAGAAATCATAGCAAATGAGCGTCCTTAAAATCGATTGCATGCACGTCTATTATTTAATATCTTCCTCAATTTAACAAACTTGACGCTAGTTTTGGTTTATATCATGATTGAGGGGATGTCACAGGATTTTCAGACCACGTACATGTAGGCGTATTATTTTTAATTCTGCATGAAATTAACAAGGTCATATTCATTTTAATGGCTATGGGTCTTTGAAAAAAAAATCATCTCTAACTGTCATAGACCTGGAGAATAATTGGGTTGTTCGTGTAAGTTTGAATTTTGTGAAAAGAGAGTTATTTATAACTCATAAAGATTGAATAACATATGAGAGGTAACAAGATAACAGAGAAGTGGTCTACAATCATTTTTTCTGATAACATTTTGTAGCGTTTCTCGAAAAATGAAGATAATTTGAATGAGCTGTAATTGAGCAATTCTACCATTTAGATTGATATCAAGTTATATTCGCACTAAAATGTTTTCTTTTTCTCGTCGGAGAGATGAATCCATTGATAATGAGTCCTTGCCTTCAGTAGCTCCAAATTCGAGTAAAAATAATGGCTTTTGATCTGTTTGTGAGGAATTCGGGCGTTCTCTTTGTGTGATCAAATTAACCACATTTCAAACAGAGTCGTTATAAGACCCATAGTCATGAAATTGTTTTGTTTTGCAATTTAACGCTGCAAGAGAGTGTTTCTGCCCCTCACGTGCCTGTAACAGCTGTAAAATGCGTAATATACAGAATTGATACAAAGTAGGATCGTTCAAGGTGCTTATAAAATTATGATACATGTACAGTTGTAGTATATTCTTAATTGAGAATATTGGCATGTGTATCACCCTAAATTACGTGACTGTCCGATTTAACCTATTGTTGTATTATTTTAATCTTCTCTCTTTAAATGCCATAAAACTGCTTATAATCAACTAAGTTTCGATAAAGTATAGCTGTCCTACAGTAGAAAATGTATGCAATGGTAGCATATCATACTTACGATAAAAGTCAATTCAAAAACATTGAATTTTAAATTTTAAAATATAAGAATGATAATTGTATTCATTATACTTTCCTGTAAATTTGTCGTATCCAATTCGTCGAGGAACATTTATTTAAAAAAATACTATTACCTTCTGAATGATGAATCCACGCCCTCATGAATGATAGGACGTAGCAACAGTCAACAACTTTATAGTTAGAAATTCCAACTTTAAAGTTGACTTTTCCAACTTTAAAGTTTGTAATTTCAACTTTCATCTTGTTTTTTCCAATTTGAAGTTGGTAATTCCAACTTTAATCTTGGCTTTTCCAACTTTAAGGTTGGTAATTTCAACTTTATATAATCTTGGCTTTTCCATCTTTGTACGGCTTTATGCGTTATGTACTTTGTAGCTGGACTTGTGTTGCAGTTTTTTTTTTACATGTGATTACAATGGAAAAAGATGTAATCATGAAATTGGATGAAAGAAGGAATTTCATTATGTTTTCATATACAGAATTGATACAGTATATGTAGCATGTAATATAGTGTTAATACACCCTATATATCAAACACCTAATAATGGTATCATTTGTTTAAGCTTTTTCTCTCATACAAAACAAAATATATCTCTGATCTCAGGTAAGACTAAAATCCTGTCATGTACGGAGTTGTATGAGTTATTCTTTATATAATCATATAAGATGGACCAAAAGAAATATAAAGGTTTTTAAAGTTGGAAGTTATACTAAGGTCATAGAGAAGGTCAAAGTAAAAGAAATCGCTCACCAATCTTTTTCAGTGTATTGATTTTGCCATAATAAAGATGGTAATAATTCAAAATAAGGGGGGAAAGCTAAGGAAAAGGGCTAGAAAAGTTCAAGTTAAAGTTTGAAAAGCTTAAATTAAAGTTGGAAAAGCCAAGATTAAAGTCGGAAAAACCAACTTTAAATTTGGAAAAGCAATCGTTAAAGTTGTAATGACCAACATTAAACTTGGAATTTCCAACTTTAAAGTTGGAAAGGCCAACTTATAGTTAGAAATACCAACTTTAAAGTTGGAATTAAGAATTTTAAAGTTGGAAAAGGCAAGATTAAGGTTGGAATACTCGAATGAAAACAGGTGTTGTGAAATAAATATGAACAATGAAGTGTGTTTTATTGTCATTAATGGGGATCATTGTAGGAAAATTTTTCATCCAGTGCTGGAAAATCCCCATCATGTCAATAAAAGACACTTCATTGTTTAAAGTTGGAAATTCCAAGTTTCAAGTTGGTAATATCCTTTTTCTTTCCAAACTAAAGAAAATAACAGATATTACGTAAGATAAGCAGTATATTGAACAACTCTATGACAGCCTTGTGTATTCAGTAATTAAAAAAAATATAGAGAAAATATTTGATAGAATTATCAATTTCTATTTGCAGCTCTTCCACCAGAAGTTTATACAATATGGGAGGCATATCCATGGAGATTTGGAGAACCTTTCTGCATATTTAAAGCTTTTCTGCTGGAATGGACGTCATACGCATCTGTGTTGACCATAACTGGATTCACGGTGGAGCGCTACATCGCCATTTGTCATCCAATTACGGGTCAAAAAGTTACTAGACAATCGCGAGCTTTTAAATGCATCATTTGCATATGGATTATATCCGCATGTTGTGCTTTGCCATATCCGTTTCATACGCGCACATTCTATTATCTAAATGATCCTAGAACTAATTTGCCTATCAATGATACTTTATTGTGTAACATTCCAATAAAGTGGCACGAAAGGATGATCGTCATGTTTCAAGTGTCTACTTTCGCTTTCTTTTTCCTTCCAATGTGTATCATTACAATTATGTACATATTGATAGGGATTCGATTGCGAAGGACGGAAGTGGACACGACAATGGGAGTCCAGTATAAAGGCGCTCTGTCCACGACCGCTAGGGCAAGGAAAGCAGTTCTGAAAATGCTAGGTATAATTTGTGTAAAATTTTATAGTATAGAACTTTTTTCAAATTTTATATGGGTGAAAGTACGCTCTTCAAATATATTTGGCCCTGTTAGATTAGTCTAGAATGATCTCTTTTTTGTTTTTTTTGCATGCCCCGTAGTAGTCGAAGATTGGGGGCATATAGTTTTTGCCCTGTCCGTCCGTCTGTCTGTTTGCCCGTAAAAACTTTAAACTTGCCCAAAACTTTTGATTGGTTAGAACTAGGTCTTTCATATTTCACATGTGTATTCCTTGTGATAAGACCATCATATTTGACCTCGACCTTAGAGTTTGACCCAGTTTTGCAAAATTTAACCCAACATTTACCTTGGCCATATCTTTTGAACAGTTAGTGCCAAGGCTTTCATACTTCACATACATGTATATAATTCTTGTGACAAGACCTTCCTTTGGTTACCAAGAACTTTGACCTTGACCTTGGAGGTTGACCTACCTTTGGAAAATTTTAACCTTGACCATTACTTTTGAACAGTTGGTGCTCATACTTCATACATGTAATCCTTGTGACAAGACCTTACTTTGGATACCAACAACTTTGTCCTTTTGACCTTGACGTTGGAGTTTGAACTACTTTTGAGAAACTTTAACCTTGGCCATAACTTTTGAATGGTTGGTGCTAGGGCTTTCATATTTCACATGTGTATTTCTTGTGAGAAGGCCTTTCCTTGGGTAACAGTTATTTTGACCATTTGACCATGACATTGATGTTTGACTCACTTCTGAAAAATTTTAACCTTTTCCATATCTTTTCCATGGTTGCTGCTAGGGCTTTCATATTTCACAGGTATATTCTTCGAGACAAGACCTTACTTTGGATACCAACATATTAGATTTGCATTTGAGAAAGTTTAACCTTCGCTATAAGTTGCCATACGGGGGCATCAGTGTTTCACAAACACATCTTGTTTGTTATTTTATTTATTTATATGTTTATATATATATTTATTTATTTATTTTGGTTTGCTTTGTTATTTACCTGGTATAATTAGTCTATGTTGCACTAAATATATAATTTCGTCGATAAAATGTGAATATATGTATGTATGGTAGATATGTAAACCGCACACTAAGAACTGAATACCTTACTCTTTTCACGGCAATTATCACACAGAGAGAATTATATTCCTCACCCCATTTAATTATATTTTCTCAGCTGGATTTAGTTTTTTCATAATAATTTAATAAGTTACATTATTTGGTAGATTTGAGGTTAATATACTGAGGATGCAAAAGACTATGCAAAAGAACAAAAATGCTCATAGTATATATACAAAGTTCATTTTAAAAGCAAGACAATCAAATCGGCTTATCTGAAAAATGAAATTCATCAATTAAACCCTCATTTTACTGTCAAAGCAGTCAAGTACACCTCAGGAGTGTCATAAAAAATTTAATGCACCAGGAAAGTAAATGACTTTAAAAATTACTTTTCTTAGTTCTCTGTCTTGATTTCCCTTTAGTTTTCAAAAACCATTAAAATGAATATGTTCTCTCTCTCTCTTTCTCTCACTCTCTGTTTAAGCTGAAATTTAAAAAAAATACTTCAAACCTCAAGAGAATATGTCTAAGTGAAAAAAATTCTGAAGTAAAGAAGAGGTGAAAAAATTCTGAAGTAAAGAAGAGAACTCAAGGGCATCTGAAACATGAATGTCGACATGTAAATATTCGACAAGATATTATTGTTACAAATAACATTGTTTGCCACTTAACGAGTCAGAAGTTGGATTCCTACGATAGAAGATGATGTCATCTGTCAGACATCTTTACACCAAATTAAGATGCTTCTGTATATAATGATGCATGCTGATACAATCCGCGTTTTGTTGTCTACGACTCAATTTACCATTGAGGGATTAATTTTATAATTACTAGTATGTAACACGGAGATCAAAATGAAATTTCAAAGGAAGGCCAGACATAAAAGCAATATTGCCTTTGTGCTTGTTCTAATTGCAGTAAATGTGTCATTGCTATTGAAGATTCTCTCTCTCTCTCTCTCAATCCTTTTTTTTTTTATTTTATCAGTGGCTGTTGTGGTCGCTTTCTTCCTCTGCTGGGCGCCATTTCACGCACAAAGATTGATGACACTATATGTCAAAGATTGGAGCCCTGAGTCCATGGAGTTCCACAGCCATTTATTTTACATATCAGGTAAAATACTTACTTGTATATCATTCAATCCATTATTTTGAAATACGGAATTGTCTTAAATAAATGTACAGGGTAATTACAGTAAAGCCTGAAGCATAAATATAAGCCTTGAATTAAGTGAATTATTTCTTTATAATAACATCTTTTTTTTCTATGTTTCCAGGTGTTTTATATTTTGTTAGCTCAACTGTGAATCCCATACTATATAATCTATTGTCCAGGAAGTTCCGCTATGCTTTTAAAAGGACGTTTTGTCGGTGCTGTTTAAACTTGGAACCATTTCCAACTTTTTACAAACTGAAAGCAATATTTATAAACAGAAGCGAACAGAATTCAGGCTCCCCCAGCCCTCGATTTATATATCCCCAGAAACCTGTAGGTCTGGATACCCCGTACAATAAACATGGCGGAAGCCTTTCTATGAGCAGACCAGTCAAACAAGCATCAACCAAAGACACCGTGGTTAAGTGTTCTTCATCCGGAAGTAGTTCGCATGCGCACTCTGACGGAAGACTTCATTTTATATGTCGTCACAAAAGTTGTAGTAGCAACCGTATACGACTGAGCCTAGAAATAAACATGATGTATACACAATTTAACAATGCATCATGTCAAGATATCGAAAAACTCAGAAAAATGAAATGCTTCAAACAGCTTTCAAACCAAAAAGTCGATTCCAAAGATGGTGAAACAGAGAAAGATTGTGACGTTACAGCAAGTCTTATTTAATTCTGTAAAAGAAAATATATTCTTTTATAATAAAATGTTTTTAATGTGTTTTTTTTATTAGGTACGCTTTTTAGGTGCATCTCTTTGATCGATGTTGCTTTCTTATTGCGAAATCCGCGTCATAGATTTGATACGAAGAGTCTTTTAATTTAGGTCAACATAATTTATACGCATATGTCAATAGTACAGAACAAGTTCTTTGTTGATCATTGCATTGGTCAAGCCTTTAAAGTTATAGGATACTAAAAGTCCGGAGAAATAGGGGATTTTATCATAGTTCGGCACACTTGAAAAAAAACATCTAGATTCAAATTTATTTCTTACATGGTAACATGATGGTAAAATTAGTGCAACTTTATTTTTATTTTGGGGGATTTCATTTTTTATCTATTTATTTTATTATTCATTTGTTTATTTTTTGCTTTTTGGCTGCCTTAATGATGGTTGGGGGGATGATGATGCCATAGGTTCCCCAATGCTGGTATCTGATAAACTACTATAGTAAAGGTATTACTATCAGCAGAGTCAATTAAGTCGAACAATACAGTTGAATGATTTGGGGCATTGCAAACTACACAGTACCATGAGACAGACTTGTTGGATAGAAATAAATATTCCTCAGAGTCCACCCACGTACATGATGCATGGTACCAATGGTTGCATTCATCACATGCAATGGCTCTTTGTCCCCAGTCACATAGTTTGTCGCATATGGGACACATATAACTTGAGGTAGAGGGGCCGGGGTTTGTTTCTACACCGCCTATAATTAATAAAATAGACAGAAAGTTTGATGTGCCGCAAACCACACTTGGCTGGAATTTCCTCTGTTGGGATGTGTTCATATGCCAGTAGTAGATGCAGGTCTTTGCACAGATATGACTGGGCTGTTGGAGGGAGAAGGAAAATTCCTTAGACACGTAGGTGTTTGGTCGTGTCTTATGCGGACAAAATATTGTTTTACTTACGACAAAAGTCATAAAACATAATGCAAGCAAAAGATGTTTCATTGTTTACATTTGTGCCGCTTAACCGGAAGTATAGAATATTCTGTTGTCAGTATAACTTAATTGTGAAAAACCCAATATTGGTAGATCCACTAATTCCCATGACGATGGAGTGAAGGAGATGAAAATTTGGTAGTCCTTGTTGATCCTCAAGAGTCCATTCCATTGGGATCAGCCAGAAAATGTGAAATTTTATAAAATTTCATGACCTAATTTAAATACCGATACTGAAAAATTCCTATTAATTTGAATTTTTTCATTGAAATAATTAATATAAACCAATGGGAGATGTTGTATATATATAATAAAGGAGTTATTGAACTTATATTGGTGAATATTGGCACTCGTTGGCTGTACAAATGCACTCGCAAGATGGCATTTCTACAGCCAACTCGTGCCAATATTCACCAATATAAGTTCAATAACCCTATAATATTCGTTTAAACGAATTCGAAGATTCGTACGGAAGCCCATTTAGGACCTATTAAAAATATTTTTGAATTCGATATAACGAATTGTTGAATTTATCATAACGAATTTAATTCGTTATAACAGTTTATTTGAATTCGTTATAACGAATTTAATCTGTTATAACAAATTTGTTGAATTCATTATAACGAATTCAAAAATTGGTTATAACGAATTAAATTCGTTTAAACAAATTCTAAAATTTGTTATAACAAATTAAATTCGTTTGAACGAGTTCTAAAATTTGTTACAACGAATTAAATTCGTTTAATCAAATTCAACAATCAGGACCTGTAGAAAAATATATATGAATTCGATATAATGATTTGTCGAATTCGTTCTAACAAATTTAATTCGTTATAACATATTAAAGAATTCATTTTAACGAATTTAATTCGTTATAACAAGTTTTAGAATTCGTTATAACGAATTTAATTCGTTATTGAATATTGTTATATCGAATTCAAAAATATTTTTTGATAGGTCCTGAATGGGCTTCCGTAGATTCGCTATATAAAAATCATTTATATTTTTCTATAGATCCCAAATGCTGAATTCCATTAAACAAATTTAAATTGATATTTATAATAACAAATTAAAGAATTCGTTTAAATGAATTTAATACGATATAACAAAATTAGAATTTCGCTTAAACAAATTTAAATATTCTGTTTTATCTACGGAAGCCCATTTAGGACGTATCAAAAATGTTTTCGAATTCGATATAACGAATTGTAGAATTTGTTATAACGAATTCAATTCGTTATAACAATTTTTTTTAATTCGTTATAACGAATTTAATCTGTTATATCAAATTTGTTGAATTCGTTATAAAGAATTCATGAATTTGTTATAACGAATTGAATTCGTTTAAACGAATTCAAAAATTTGCTATAACGAATTAAATTCGTTATATCAAATTCAACAATCAGGGCCTATAGAAAAATATGTATGAATTCGATATAACGATTTGGTGAATTCGTTTTAACGAATTTAAATTGTTACAACCAATATGAGAATTCGTTTTAACGAATTCAATTCGGTATAACAAGTTTCAGAACTCGTTATAACGAATTTAATTCGTTATAACAAAATTTGAATTAGTTATAACGAATTCAACAAATTTGTTATAACAGATTAAATTCATTATAACGAATTCAAAGAAACTGTTATAACGAATTAAATTCGTTATAACAAATTCGACAATTCGTTATATCGAATTCAAAAAAAAAAATTTTGATAGGTCCTAAATGGGCTTCCGTATTTATCAATGTGTTTCGATATAACGAATTCAAGCAATCTGTTATAACAGATATACTAACTTAAGTACTAATTTGTTATAATTAAAAAAATGTTATTACAAATTATATTTGTGTTTAAAAATTCGACAATTCGTTACATCGAATTCAAAAATATGTCCTAAAAGGTTTTCCGTATGAATATTTTATAGTGGTCTCTGAAGTAAACCAAGAGAGGTTTCGGAATGCTTTTAAGAATCAAAACAAAAGTTTTACATCTTGGTGTGAGTTGAGGATTTCACGATACATGTAAGTCAATACAAATTGAAAGTACCAAAAATTTTTATTCGATCATAGTCATGAAGCTGTGAAAGTAATACACAATGCCAGATTCACTTACACAAATGATGAACATAAGAATTTAGTCTCTCCAGTAAGAGAATGTACTTTAAATCTGTAGAGTAAAAACATTCAATCAGAAATAGGTTAATTTTTAAGGAGGTAAATACAAACACAGTAAGATAATCAATGAAGAGTAAATACACAGGCTGATTATCTAGCAGAATTGTCAAAATTTTCTGTGGCATGAAACCTGTTCAAATTAATACGGAAGTCCATTAGGTTCTATAAAAAAATATCTTTGAATTCGATATATCGAATTGTCGAATTTGTTAAAACGAATTTAATTCGTTATAACATTTTTTTGGAATTCGTTATAACGAATTAAATCTGTTATAACCGATATCTTAAATTCGTTATAACGAATTCAAAAAATTGTAATAACGAATTTAATTCGTTTAAACGGATTCTAAAATTTGTTATAACAAATTAAATTTATTATAACAATTTTTGAATTTTTTATAACAAATTATATATTTGTTATAACAAAATTTGTTGAATTCGTTATAACAAATTCACAAAATAATTTTCTATAAGCCCCAATTGTCGAATTTGATTAAATGACATTAATTCGTAATAACACATTTTAGAATTTGTTCAAACGAATTTAATTCGTTATTACAAATTTTATAATTCGTTTAAACGAATTTTAATCTGTTATAACAATTTTTTTGAATTCCTTATAACGAATTCAACAAATTTGTTATAACAAATTAAATTCGTTATAACGAATTCCTAAAAAATTGTTATAATGAATTAAATTCGTTCAAACAAATTCGACAATTCGTTATATCGAATTCAAAAATATTTTTTGATTGATTCTATAAATAGGCTTCCGTAAAATAATGCCTATATTTCTGTAAAAATTATGTGTATATATACGAGGGGTAATCAAAACGTTCTCGAACTACTAGTATCTCTATATTTACAGAACCACAATTCAGATCAGAATGAAATTGGCACACATAGTAGTCATAAACATCTTCCATAAAAAACAGTTGTAACGTAATGTTTTGCTCCATGTCTGTGACGTCACAGTTTGAAAATGACGTTAATATGTAAGATGACTTGTGACAAAAAAAATGGTTGACTCAGTGGAATGGCTGTAAAGTTAAATACGTATATTTTGACAATTCCTTTACAGTAGTATATAATATTTTGCACAAGGTTTATGAAGACAAAGGACTTGCAAGAAGTTTAATTATTTATTGGATTGATTGTTTAAGTGAAGGAAGGAAAATGGCTAAAAATGATGTTCGTTCTGGTGCCCAGTGAAAGTAAGCTGGGGAAGAGATGTGTCCTTAGTTGAGCAATTTGTTATGAAAGATCGCCAAGTTAGTTAGAAAAATAGTTGTTCGTTATCTCCATACATTTCAATTGAATATCTTAACAATAAAATAATTATTAAATCCCTAAAATATCATTTATTTCAGACTTTAAACATATCAGATGTGATAAAAAGAAGGCGCCCATACTTGGTCCATATTGGATAAACGCCTCATCCAAGACAGAGGTGTCGGGTTGTGATGGTCACCGTGCTCATTCTGGGAAAGGATATCCTTATCCACCCATCCTATTGCCGAGATTTGGTCATATGTGACAAATATACTAATCTTTTATGGAAAAAAAATAAGAATAATTTGCATGGTAAGAAATATAAGACTCGGAAAAAAATCTTTTAGCTTCTGTGAACAGTTCGCTAAGGAGCATGTCACGTGACCAAGTGATTCGTGCATGGGCAGATGTGCATTAAAATCGGAGGGCACTACATTAAAAAATATTAATAAACACGGAATCCTAATTTTATTTGTTTTATGGAAGTAACTCATTTAGTTCGCTAACTTTTTGATCACCCCTCGTATCTTGACATGTCGACGTGGCGAATTTGTAAATTTAATTTACTTAATTTCACATTTTATTAAAAATTATCATTATC